GCCGAGCTCAGGGCCCGTCGGGCCGGGCGCCCCCAGACCTCGGCCGAGATCAGGGCCTGTCGGGCCGGGCGCCACCCAGACCCCGGCCGAGATCAGGGCCCGTCGGGCCGGGCACCCCCAGACCTCGGCTGAGATCAGGGCGGGTGCTGCCTGGACACCAAGCCTGACTCCGTTCAAAGGAGCTCTCAGTGATAACCGACAAAGGGAGGGTCATTCTGCCCATGTTACAGACAGGAAAACTGAGGCCCAGAGCGTGGCGAGGCATTGCCCAAGGAGCTGGAAATTTAACCCAGATCTCCTGGGACCCAGGGCAGCTTTCACTGCAATTGTCCTGGTCTCCGTCCCCAGCTCTGGGCACCAAGCCTGACTCCGTTCAAAGGAGCTCTCAGTGATAACCGACAAAGGGAGGGTCATTCTGCCCATGTTACAGACAGGAAAACTGAGGCCCAGAGCGTGGCGAGGCATTGCCCAAGGAGCTGGAAATTTAACCCAGATCTCCTGGGACCCAGGGCAGCTTTCACTGCAATTGTCCTGGTCTCCGTCCCCAGCTCTGGGCTGGGAGTGAGGTCTAGTGGTTAGTGGGGGTGGGAGGAGCCTGGATTCTGGGGTTCGGTTCCCGGTGCTAGCCCGGCCCTTCGGGAGAAGCGCCTCCGCCTCCCCGGGGCACCGGGGGCAGCTGTCAGCCGGCATCGGGGAACCAATTTGTCATCTCCCCGGCCTGGCTAATCCCTGCTAATTCCGGCGCCCTAAGCCGATTGGGACATTTGCTAAATTAGATCAGCAAAAATAACAACCGGCGTGTGGGGCGGGCAGGGCTGGCAGCGGTGCTCGGCCCGGCCCTGGGGGGCAGCGAGATCCCAGCGGGGAACCACGGGGCCAGCATCTCCAGGAGCAAGTGAACCCCCGTGGCAGGGGCTGAGAGCTGGGGGGCTCAGACTGGGGGGTTCTGGGGTCAGGACTCTGCTGTTTCCCGCTGTCCTCCCAGAGCAGGGATAACACCCAGGAGTCTTGGCTCCCAGCCCTCCTGCTCTCACCACTAGACACTCCTCCCTTCCCAGAGCTGGGGAGAGACCCTGCAGCCCCGTCTCAGAGCCAGAAACGGGTCCAAGGTGCCCTGGCTCCCAGACCCCTCCCACTCCGAGCTCAGGGGACTTAAGGAAATCACTGCCCCTTCCGTGACTCAGTTTCCCCTCCTGCCTCCCCACGCTCAAGCCCCAGCCATGACGGGTGCCGCAGGGGAGGATGGGGGAGAGACACCCCCAATTCTCTCCCTGACTGTGGGAGAGGCGCAGAAGCTGGTTAGAAGAGGGGGCCCGCGGGCCCGGGTTCTCTCCCCGGCTCGGGAGGCAGAGCGGGGTCTGGCAGGAGGACACCGGGGCGGGGAACCCCGACAGACGCGCTGCAGGGGGGCCCAGCTGGGGCGGGGGCTCGGGGCGCTGCTGCTGCACAGCCTTGTGGCCTGACATGGGAGAGGGCGAAAAGCCCCCACAGAGAACGGGACTGTCCGAGGGATTCCAGCTCCCTCTTCCAGCGGGAGGGGGGCACCCTGGCCCGACCCTGCCCCGGCGAGAGTGGGGCGGTTGGGCCGGGATTGGCTCCTGATCGCCTCAGTTTCCCCCAGTGTTCCAAAGCCAGTAGGGGAGGGGCCCAGGAGGGCGAGAGCGACAGGGGAGGTGAAGCTGCACAGCTGAGGGCGAGGTCGGGGGCCCCAAGCAGAGGCAGGCGATTTCGTGACACGAGTGACTCTGTTTGCTCCCAGCTGGGCCCGAGGGGCAGCCCCGAGCTGTTCCCATGGGGTTACCTGGCCGGTGGCAGCTGGAACGGGGCTTCTAGGCAGAGCGGAGAGGCGGGGGGGGGCGCGGCGGTACCCCTCTCTCCCATGGTACATCGCACGGTGCGTGAGCACCTGGCAGGCTCGGGGCTTAGGTTAGCAAATGCAAGAACCAAAAGAGCCAACCCAGAACTGAGTCGTCCGCACGTGCTTGTTTTATTTGTGAAACGTTTCTCATGCTTGCCTTTTTTTTTTTTTTGCTTTTTTTTTCATCTTTAAACCACCAAAATTTGGGGCTGGTACAAGAAACTGCCTCTCGCTAGAACAAGAATAAATAGCAAGTCACCCAAAATAGTTTGCACTGAAATGCTGTTCTCCTACAGACATCGGAGTGTAAGACCTAACAAAACTAGGCTAACCCGCCACCCACATCAACTTACAAAATAAACCTTTTCTTTTTAAGCCAGTATTTTAGTGCACACAAAAAACAATCAAATTCTTTACAGAGATTTATTTTCTCAGATTGTATTTTTTTGCCCGTTTCTTTTGAAAAAAAAAATCAGAGCAAACCTATGGCTGGAGGGGGGAAGCAAAAAATAAAATGTTTCCACAGCTAGAGGCGTGAAAATAAAAACAGCTAGGCCCAATAGAGGGGGATATGGCCACATTAGCGGCTACACGGTTCGTTACCTCTTTGAAAAGGGAAGGGGGGCAGAAATTAAATCCACTGAGGTATTCAGCCAAAAAATAAATACAAACGGCCTTCGTCTGTGAAGGTGAAAACCGTGATTGTTACCGGGACGGGCTGCTTAAAAACAAAGAACTACAGAATAGCCCTACGTGAAACTCACAACTTGTCATGTTTTATTTACACGCAAAAATTCAAAATACGGCCCTGCAACGTGCTGCCAGATCACAAGTGTTTTGCACTGGTGACACTGATTACACGAGGCAACAGGAGACATTCGAGCCCCGGAATGATCTGCAAGGTGGCTGATTCAAACGCGAGTCCCCGGCAAGGAAAATGAGTCCGGTGCAGGCGCCGTGTGTGGCGAGGTGGCTTCTCATGTTAGAACCTTTCCCGGAGCAAAAGGGCCACGTCCCCAGGAGCCGGGCCCAGCCAGATCTCCGGGGTCGCCTCAGCCAGAGACGGAGCGGAACCAACTCCCCTGCATCCCTGGGGGGGTTTCTATCCAGCCAGCCTGGGAAAGGGGAGCAGCTGAAGCGGTCTGATTAGAAAAGCAGCGTGGGAGTTCTCCATCGTCGTGCACCCACTCATGCGGAGCAGGTGTGGACGGGAATTCTGCTGCTCTGCTTTCCCGCCTCTCCTGCGCTGGTGAAAAGGCGCGTGCACGGCAGCGGGGAATCAAATCAGGCCTCGAAAGCGACGCCGATATCCGCCCTTGGCGGCGTTACGCAGCGTGCCAGAGGGCCGGGTCCCGGCGGTGACCAAGTCCAGTCCGCTGGGCTCGGGGCCCTGCCTGGCTGGGAACCGGGAGGGGCCAGGGGAAACGGGGGGCGATGGACAGTGGGAACCGGTGTCACATTTCCCCACCAGTGGGGCAGAGCTGGGCCGCGAGCCCGCTGCTCCTTAAGCCGTCCTGGTGGGGCTGCGGCCTCGGGACACCCCCCTCGTCCTGGGCCCCCTGCCCCAGATGCCGAGCACAAAGCCGTTTGCCCAGAGGTCCCACGGCCCCCTGCAAAGGGAGGACATGACAGAAGGGGAAACCGAGGCACAGGGTGGCAGTGCCGGCCAGTCCCCACTTCTCTAACCCTCTCCCCCCTCCCAGGACTGGAAATAGAGCCCGGGCGTCCTGGCGGCACATGCCTGGACCTAGCCCCCCAAAGCTGCGCTGTTCCAGTCACCCGCCGTTCCTTCGAAGGACCAGGCCAGGGCTAGAGAAACCCCACAAGTACAGAACCCCGGTGCCAGAACATCTGGGGGGGCTGCTTCCCCCCAAGGCCGGCCGTGGCTAATCCCAGCTCCCCCCCCC